GTGAATCGCTTTCGACGATCTACGAACTTGGTTGTGATAAAGCGGTATATAAGAACCTCCAATTATTATTATTATTATTTTTATTATTACTGTATTGTTAATCATAGTCAAAGGATTCTAAGCATTCATTATACTAAGTTACNCAATTGTACTAAAAAAACAGTCCCGGGTGATACCAACGAGATTCTTCAATTTACATTTAGAGTCACCAGAGACGTAAATTATGTAATATATACGTCTCTGGAGCCACATAGACGAGCTTCGTACCTTTGGCGTGAGGACTCCAACACAGAGGACGTCATTTACAAAAGCCCCCCCCCCTCCCAACCCCTTTCAAAATCCTTTAATCAGAGACATATATACTATACCAGTGTAAGTACTACCAGGGACAGTATATACGTCCCTGGTACTACGAATAAATTGTTTTTATACCCCTCTGCTTTAACCGCCCGATGTTTATTTTTTAACTTCAAACAAAGAAACAGTACTATATAAGTGACTTATCAGGGACGTAGGGACGTATACGTCTCTAGCCAGATTAGCCCGAGTTTCCTCTGGCCCTAACATTTTGACATATAGATGTCTGTCTGGTGAGTCTGATGTTAAGGCCAGACGAAACTCGAGCTGACAAAAAACGATAGCTGAATCATTTACGTATAATATCAGATCCAGTAGAGGCGATATACGGCGTGGGGTCTGGCTTTGCTGAGACGAAGATGCCCCGGGGCGAAATTGAAGTACCGATGGGGGATGGTGCACCCCCGCTGAGGTAATTGGCGCTACCCCTGATAGCGGTCCTGGTCATCCTAGCTAACACACCGATCTTTTCTGTTACTTATCCAGGTAAATGACTCGACAAGGTAACATTTGCATTGTGATTTTTATGAAAATTGACAAAAAAAAGTAACAAACATTTTGACAAGTTAAAAGATAGATTATGATTTTAAAGTAAAATAAAATCGTTGATTAGAGATAAATGAAGCTAAAAAATATGAAAATTTTAAATAAATTCAGTGTAAAATTGTATTTCATCTTTTGAATTGCGAAATGAACACTTAATTATCTCATACAACCTTTCGATTTCACCTATTGAAACACGAATCAGTAGCATATCGTATATCTGAAAGAAGGTGCATAAAGTTACTATACAAAAGGATGGTTTTATATACTGGGCATGTTTGTGTCAATTATAAGATATACTTTGTTTCCTATAAAAATATCTCTTTTTATGCAGAATAAAGAAAGGAAAAATAAAACTATCATGTTAGAAAAGTATGTTAAAAGAAACGTTGCCGTAATTCGTCAGATACTGTCGTTGTATAGGAAGTTGAATTCTTTGGAGATATGTGGCGTTGACATCGATACCGCCAAACCCAACCCTCTCAAACTTTTGGATTTTTTACGGTACTAGTGATATGAAGCTCATATGAATTCAATTAAGTCGTTTCCGATGCATAATGAAAAGGGTATGTAAGTGTTACTCATCTTCATTTTTCATTAGTATATACCCGAAGCTACACACACCCGCGCACAGTGGTCGTCTTTATACTTTCCCTGTTCAATATTTGAATTAAATTAAAACGATACGTAAAGCAGACATTGTACTTCAGTCTCATAATTCAATCAGAAACATATAAAAACAGACTTTGAACTATACGGACCCGCGAATTAGTTACAATAATGTTTGTTTTGACTTAACACTGATATGTCGGAGTAATCATTCTCCCGGGTGTTGGTTGAGATACAACTAATTTATACGATTTCGTGGTAGAAACTAGATACGCCGGCAAAAGACGTCCTTGCGACTTGAGACGCTTAAATTTTTTATCGGGTGCTGTTGGAAGGAGGGGTGGCATTTCATTCGAGAGATATTACTCTTTACACAGCGGGAAAGGTACAAACAAACCAACAGTAGCCGGGTCCCTGTGACTGAACTTTACCTTAGAAATAACAATAGCCGCAGGTAACAGGGCCTATCCCACGTTTAATAAATTATAAACTATATGTATCTGTATCTCAATGTACTGTATACCATGCTATCAGTTATGAGTGTCCGCCGCCTCTTACATCAGACTAAGACAGTTTGACAGATAGACGTCTGGCTGGACCAGAGCGCACTAAATATGTTTATGAAAACGTAAAATTGTCCGAAACCGTTTGGTATCGGATAGTTTTAATTGAGATGCTGACAACAAACATTTACTATGGCACAACACATACCTCACATACATCGATAAATGTATGTCTGAGAGAAATAAAAATCTGAAATCTGGTATTGGACATACACATCAGAACGATTATCACTTACAAAATCTGACCTTAATTCATTGCTAATATAATATGGTATTTCATGAAAAAAACAGGTAATTTACGATATTAAAAAAATCAAAATGTGGTAGGACATTCTTCCGTGAATATTGGCACGGACTACGTGATTCCGTGATTATGGTTACAATTCGCTATCAATCATGAATTTGAAATATATATCGTGTCGTAATTGTCTAGGTATTCCTATACATTTGTGGTCATTCAGTTATCACATAGATTAAACGACCGCTCTATTCAAACAATTATATGTTGTAGAAATCATTGACTGACATTTTAATCATAAGAATTAGAGAAATGTTATTCTTAGACTGATCTGACATTATTAAAATAACACGGCTTTATTAGTTTAGTTACGGACTTAAATATATCTTGTGGGTGGTAAGTACAGGTGTAATTGGGCATTAGTACCGGTTGTTTGTTTGTTTTAGTAGATTAACGTCCGCTTCACTACGAGTGGTTCGGTTATCCAGACGACTACTACTAGTTCCGTCAAGTGAAAGCGACTGCATAGTTCGTTCGTTCGATCCGCCGCTATCGGCCAGGTATCAGTTTATCGGTCGATAGCGGCGAGGTATCATTAAGCAGTTTATCGGCCGGTAGCGGCCGAAAGCCTCGCTCCGTTCGGGAAGCGGCTGTACTAGCAGCGTTAGGCCCAATCGGTAACACCGGTCCTATCGGTAGGCGTGCGTTCGAACTGAGTTCGTCCTGCGGTCGTATAGCAGCTCGTCTACGTTCGGGAAGCGTGCGTCCTGCGTTCGTGCCACAAAAAGTGGATAATTGGGCGTAATTCTACCTGTAAGAATTTGCCCCTGTGAGGAAGGCTTTGGGTTCTGTCCCCTGGACGATACAATCCAGAGTCTGAACAAATGGTAGATTCTACTCCTGATTAACACTCAGCAATTGAGGAGTGGGACGACTTGTTTGCCCGTTGTCAGTATAATGTGACCGGGTGGGGAGTCCTGCTGGTTTGTCTTCGGCAGTATGTTTCAGTGAGGTGGCACTATAAAGTCGGCATCGGTTCCGCGCTATAACAAGGAGACAAACACGAAAATATCGCAGCCTCCCAAAACACACACGCATACACTACACGCATGCATCTTACACATAGGGGAGGCCATCCTTAAATGACATTGGCTGTTGACGTTTAACAATACTAAACCAAACCAAACCAAAGCTTACCCCATTTACCAATTTTAAAGAAATTTGTATGCAAGGATCCAGTGATAATTGGGAAGTTACCGTCATTCGAAAAAACTATGACTGTTGAATTTTGTCTTCGGTGATGAATATTATATTTTCAGTTTATTGTAGAAATCTCACTCACAGTTGCCTGGACCATAACAATCTTCGGTCGAGTTCGAACTTGCGTAGAAAAATAGTCCCTGTGCATCACAGTTAAGGACTTGAACATGATACCGCAGCACGAGCTGAAGGACCCCATGACTTTTATAAGCAGTTAGCTGTCTTCTGTCGCGTCGCATTGATGTATGTTCCGTATAGATACACGGGTTTGATAACAATATAATATTCCATGAATATCCAAAAATAGACATAACATTTTATCTTTGTATCAATATGTTATCATGGATAAACGTAACCTTCGTAATGCATAAAGTACCACCTTGTGTAAACACACTTATACAAATAAATAAATACACATTTTAGATACAAATAAATATTCCATATATTTTGATAGTATGCCTATATTTTCCCTGTCATATTGCAGATGAAACAAAAATGGTTTTAATAAGCTTATCACCTTAACTATCTACAATGTAATCTATATTGCAGTTGTAGTTGGGTAATATAAACGCACGTGACTCTTTTTTAGTATATTTGTCATAAAAGCGAGCACACGTCACATCGTAGCATATACATATACTGTGTTCCCTCAAAACATGTTGCCTTTTCAAACCAAACCATGTGCTCAGTGTATAAATATATACGCATCATGAGTTATGTAAGCGTGGCCTCGCACAGTTTTAGCCATGACGTATTGCTATTTTCATATTTGCATCATTAATCCAGCGTCGATGTTTCTTGTATGTTATAGAAATAGGTTTTTAGTTTTCTTTTGTATGAAAGGGGTTTAATAATTAAAAAAAATACTGCACAAAATCTGTAAAACAAATATAGGTATAATTAAGGTAATTAGACCTTACGTTATTTCGTATTCGGCTATGCTATCCATGCAGGTAGTATGAACAGTTTTTGTCAATATAAAACAACCGAAAGCATTTGTTATACTGAAACCTCACACGCAGTCAATGAAACCCACGTATTGTATTACCATTTTGATGTTTGACCCAAAAAAGGTGAAAAAACAAGCACAATTACTAATGGGTCAAAAAAAAACATCAAACGGACCCCCTATTTTGTGGTTGTTTTCGGAAGAGAAACACATTATCTTTTGATCCATTTAATATTAAAAACAAACTTCAATTGCAAAACTGTGTATATCAAGGCCGTATTTATTGTTAAGCCATTTCTCAATTTACACCAACCACGATTGTCATCGCACAACGTTCGCCATCGTCCGCACAAATGTGCTCAAACAATAATCGTCCAGATTTCAATCGTTCGCACATCGTGCAAACATTATGCGCACATCGCGAGGAACACCGCACATATAGTTCAGCGGAAAAGAGTCAAATCCAGAAGGTTACTGTTTTTGTTCTTTTAACTGAGTAACTTGATATATGTTTAACATATTTCCAATCCTGGCCTTACTACGAAAAACGCAAACATATTATAATGTTTAAGCATTATCTAACAATCGATGATGTTCACACATACTGCATAACTAATGTGTCGCTTTTAATCTTTCAAATAGGGCATCAGAAGTCTTGGCAATGTTTCTTTGAAACATCATATGACGATCATCTTGGAAAAGGTCGGAAAAGAATTTTATCAAATCCAATGCTTAAGAACAGGATGGGCATATCTGTTATTTTACACACCATTGTAACGGCAAAGCCACCTGCAACGAAATTAACAGTAATGGTTACTAAACTACCGAGCTACCACAATAATGTTCTTACTTTGTAATAACATAGTATAGTAGCAGCATCGCTCTTAGTAAATAACAATAAAAGTATAACCGACAGGAACGCCCCCCCCCCCCCCCCCCCCCTTTCCACACTCGCATACATCCACAAAACCACACAAGTCCCCACACCGCATCGACCATGATGTGATATCCCAGCCAATCATAGGCATTAACGGTTACCTTGAATCTCGAAATACACATTTTTGTCTTTTAATACAAAATACCCCCCCCCCCCCCCCCCCCCCCCCCCCTCCTAATATATCACTTCCACAAAGAAGGTGGCCCAATAAAACTAAACGTATAGTCATTATTCTGTCATTCATTCAGAGAGACCGTAGCAGTCATCTTTAACGAATAAATTTAAAACTTAACCTTTTTGTATAAAGTATATACAAAATATATCTTCTGTGAATCGATCACACAACATATCAACACATAAATCTGAAGATGTAAGCGTAATTATCATAGAGGCCATATTGAAGCTTAAAGGTTTTTTTTTTTTTATTAAAAAGTATATCCTCTTTATATAAATAACAAAGGTATCCAAAAAGAATTTGATATAAGCAGTATTGCGTTACCAAATCAAAGGTCATGGTGGATATCTTGAATCCAAAAAATTATAACTAGTATTATGATGTAAAGTCAATCCATTATATATAATACTACAGGAAGAAAACAAAATCGAACCCACAGAACTAAGCTTAAACCAGATGTTATCTCAGCCAATCAGAGGCCATGACGGCCATCTTGAATCAGAAAATTTAAAGTTTGGAATTTTTTGTATGCTTATCAACTATGTATCACTTCTATAAAGTCTCATTTTTATTTGTGACATAGATACGGCAAATTTGCCTTCACAGGTCTTAAAATGCTAAAAACAAAAGGCTATAAATCTTCGGAGACGGGTTTGAAACCGAAATACAAACATCAGGTGCCCATCTTACACATCATATTTCGTTTGAGTTTGCTCATTCGTTTATGTTGACTTATTCGTTTAAGGAGTTATCCGGACAAGTTGTATCCGTGGACAGTAAGACGGACAAGTTTATTCCAGTATAATCAACTTAGTTTTGTTGCGGGTTGAGGGGTTATAATATCCTTCTTAAGCGAAATATAGAAGTAATATGGTATTAGCAGTATTCAAACGAAACATAACCTTCACATTTGTAATCTTCACAACAAACTTACTTGCAGCAAGACAATAACACCACGTGCATAGCACGAGTTGTACCCTGATCCGTGGGAATAGTCTGGTACATCAATGTCATTCATGTGAATACATCCTGCTATCGACAGAATACCTGAAATTAGACATATTGCATTCTATGTATACGATAAAATACTCATATTTTAAAAACATTAGTTTTATTGACAGAGTACAAGTACAAATGTAATATGGCAAGAATTAATAAACTTTCAACGACTGAAGACCCTAAAAATAGTTCACATTAATGACAATTGGATAGTATGCACACTGTGCAAGAGCATGTTACCAGCGACTGGATACAGCAACATGGCGCAAACGCCGGAACATGTCCAATAGGATGACTTTTCCTTGTCAGCGACAGAATCAGTGATACAGCAAATCCTGTACATCATGACCAGAAACGCAATCAGATGTATTAGTAGAGATGCGGTTTCCATCAACATGGATGTCCCGTCTACATCTGAAAATCGAGATAACTCGTCATCGATAAATATGTTATTACTGACAACACTCAATATCTTTCGTTATATAGACATGGACAATACTTTAGGATAGGTAAAAATAGCATTCATAGATAGTAAGTTTATTTATATATGCTATTTGCATCATTTTAACATGAATTCGGTTTATTGTAATTACTGTCAATAAAATATTTAGAACAATAATTAATTTACATTTGTTTTCAAACCAAATATTTAAAGTCCATTGAAAGAATTCTCTCCTGCACTTACATTCACGACATCGAATTTACTGGTCGTAACCTCATCAACAAGCATTTACATTATGTATTTATCATTTTGTGGTTATATCTTTCATTACAGTAGATACAATTTACGTCCTTTGCTTACGGAGTTCATATTAGTTTGTCACACTAGATTTGCGTCATCAGAGCTTGTTTTCGGCATCAGGTTTTTCTATCCACAATTTGCATCTCTTTGCATGCCAGTACGAGTTACTTCCCTTATTCCTAACAGTAAAGCGAACCAAAACTGATCAGCGCTAAAACCATTTATATGTTAATAACATAAATTAGCCTTTAGCTCTGCACCAAAACATATAAGGATGTGCTGTTTGTATTAAGGTTAAAAATAACAGAAAACCAAAGACTGAAAGTGAAACATGTCATTTATTTAAAAGTATAAGTGACGGTATAAAATATCACCTTATAACTTATTGTACACACTTATTGTACAAAGGTTTCTGTTACACAAGATGAAACAAAATAATTAGACCCCATTTATACAAAGATGGGGATCAACTTGCGCCACAATATAGCCAGACAGTTTGGACATAACTCCGAAATATCTGACTATATCCCCCATCGAAGATATTTTCAATCTACCTTCGATCATTTTACCTGAGAGGATGCTTTTTGAAAAATAGCTTGGATGCAAAGTTATATCACAACATCTTTAACCAACATCAACAATAACAAAATCGGTTGAAATAAGGATTCTTTGATTGTGCTGGGTTCATTTAGACGTTGACCAGTCCACTTAACCTTGTTGTTTGTAGTGGTGTAACAAACTAAATGTGGTCAGCTATATACTTAAGAAAAGTTTCCATGGAAGACTTATACCGATTTTATATTCGTGTTCAATCAAACAAAATGTTACATTTTTAATATCTATAAATATGACGCTAAAGCTCGTGGTCAGACCGAGCTGCAAATCAATTATTCCTCCAGTTATGTTATTTGTCGACGTGTCAACAGGTTTTTTTCCCACATGGTAGATAACCCCATTACAGGGTAAACTAAAACAGTCGTTTTGAATGTTTTGATTTTTAACATATTTTATCGATTGAAGGTTCAGCAAGCCCCCTAAAAGATGTTATAATCACCCAAAATTTTAACCCCCTGGCGTCATATTGTAATACCCTTATCAAAAATCGGAATATATGTATATAATTTAAATATATTGAACTTGTACATGAGCTATTAAAGGGACATAACCAGGTTAACGAAGTCAAAATACGGTATTAAGGCTGATGTAATGATAAAAGTTGCTCACCATATTTACATGTATAACATGTCAATCTCTTAAGCGACCCAACTGAATGTTACGAAATCACATGCTATTTGAAGATCATTTATATACCTAGGTCATGCGGGGCTTTATTTCTCTTTAACTGTGTGTGGAGAGGTATACCGTCCTCACAAAGAGAGGATTGTTGCTATGGGAAAGTACAAAAATCATAGTAAAACGTCCGACATATATATGTGTAAAACCATAGACCATTTAACCATAAACATTACTTAAACTTCATATAAAATGTCCTTTCTTAAAATTCAATATAAGAGCTAGACTACTTAACCTGGCTATGTATTTTTGCTAGCAAATGAACAAGTTCAATATATACAAATAACATATATAGGTTCCGAATTTTAAATGAGGTTTTGAATATGACTTCTCAGGGGGTTGAAATGTTAGGCGACTACGTCATCTATTAAGGGTCTTGTTGAACCTTAATAAAGCAAACGGGCACAACTTATTACCTGTCGTCCTTGAAAAAATGCTTTTTTCATTGCATTCTAATCTTCTCCTACCCAAAAAATGGCGCAAAATCGTCTTTTGATATTGGTAAAAGATGTTGCATTGCTTCCTTAAAGAAAAAAAAGCTTAATTATATAATGAATCGAGAGTATTTATGTACTAAACCGACTGAAAATGTATTACACTCAACAATGCTTAATGTAAGAAACTATTTAATGTTATTTTTGTTATAGTAAACGTCTTAACCATTCGTAACGAATCTAGATAGATACGATTAAGCAATCAGCGTGGTACGTCAAGAAGACACGTGTATCGTTTTAACCGCTGTTCATGAGAATACCTGTACCAATATTATCAATAGCAAATACGTGAAATACACTTAATGGCTTTAAGACGGGGTGATCGGGTGAATGAAACACAGTCTTGTATGTTTCCAACAGCAAAATGTATACTTTCTGGTTTTGCTTTGACATGGGAAACCAGAAAGTCAGCTCATCCAATAAAAGATATAGATATATATGGTACAGTGGCGGATCCAGAGGTTTCTTTTTGGCTTCAGGATCCCCCCGCCCCACCCCCTTTTAATAGATCTGTTAAATTATTAAAACTACTTTCAGACACAGATCTATTCTACTAGTTTTGGTATGATTTGATTCAGCCCCTACGGTTTTTTGAACCAATAAGACAATTAACAACTCTCGTTATGGACAAAATCACATAAGAGTTCTTCTGAGTTTGGTCGATCTCTGATTTCTTTTCTTGAGGATTTCTAGTATTTATACCGGTTACTATGTGTTAACGGTATATTATAAAAATACTTAACTTACTTAACTAACTTACAGTTACCATAACCATAACAACCTACGGTCACGTTACTATCCAGGTAGTAGAAGAGTCCTTGAGCATCACAGTCCTTCCATGAGAGCCAGTAAGGTGAAACAAATCCACCAACTTGAAGAAGCATAGTAATTAAAAACGTGAGAGTGTAGCAGCAGCAATAATCCTCCTTGGAATCCATGACTTTAATGAACAGTTGGCTGTGATTCGTCCCCTTGCATTAATATCTGCACAATACCGATACTCGAGATAGATAACGTATCACATTTTTCCGTGAAAATGTACCGATATATACCGTTTGCTATCTTAAAATGTTACCTCTGAAGTACTTAAGCTACTTAACAAATAAAGCATTCCGTCCGATATTGTCTTGTGTATGCATAAAATTGAAAAGAAATTGTAATGGAAGATTGTTAATCGTTATATTGCTGTACTCTGTTGCTTTATTGTATAAATAAAAATGGGCATACATAAATGTTTACATGTACATTATCAGTAATTTTAACTTATCGTATTCGTGTACATCAACATCGTCAAATTCTATGCAAACTTGAATATCCTGTCTCAACCCTGAATGAACTGAGCCAACAGTAAATAAGCGATGGTTTGTCTCTTTCGGAGGGAATATGCAGCGAGCGAAAAAATGTAGGTAAGTACCGATAAATATATAAGCCAAGCCTGAATGATAGTTTTGGGGGGAAAGGCTGAAAAAGTCTTCAAATGGCATAGGTGTAAGAATCACTGATCAAGTGATGGGTGATTGTGATCGGCAGGTCAGTCAGTCTACAGGGGTATATCCAGCTGTACCACAGTACAACCCATGCGTCATGGTTAGACATGTAAGGGTACAGAAGACAAGTGCTTATTTCGTTGAATACGTTCTTGTAATGATGTAAATAAAGTCATGTCAAGTAGTCCGGCACTGCTGTTTTTGCACGGTTGATGTGTGTGCGCATTAACCAGCTGTATGGCGTTGCGCTGGAGACCTTCAGTCAAAATAACGGATGTATGTCATCGCCTTGTCAATGTAATTACCGTATATTCTATTGTACGCGTATCTAAAGTGAATTTTTCCAGTATATCCTGGGAAATAGAAAAAACGAACATTCACTGTCAAATATCCTAGATAGCCTCTTATCAACCATTTTGTTTACCCAAAACCATCTCAAAATTAAACATGTTCAACTAGACTTGTAAGCCAAAGACTAACTAATACCCCCGCTCCTATATACACCAGAACTGTAAGTCACAGTTCCTCACCTCTATTTCGCAGTTCTCAACCTATATTTCAATGTTCCTTACCTTTTTACACTGTCCCCCACCTCAATTACGCTGTTCCCAACCTCAATTACGCTGTTCCCAGCCTCAATTACGCTGTTCCCAACCTCAATTACGCTGTTCCCAACCCCAATTACGCTGTTCCCAACCTCAATTACGCTGTTCCGAACCTCAATTACACTGTTCCCAACCTCAATTACACTGTTCCCAACCTCAATTACGCTGTTCCCTCTCTCGATTACATCTCCATTTTATGTTTTTTGCATTCACTGTTTCCTCACTTTGATTACATTTCTCTCCTCAACGATTAAAATGCTCCTCATCTCGCATGCACTGTTTCCTTTCTTGAATAAACTGGACCCTACCTTTGATACACTGATCCCCATCTCTTATATATATTACACTGCGCTACGCTAGCATGAACAGCTCCCAAAGTAGTATACATTTTTTTGTTCATGCACTCAGTTTACCCCACCTTGAATACACTGTTCCCCACCTCAGTTACGCTGTTCCTAACCTCAACTACTTTGTACCCATGCTCGCACCTTGGAAACATTATTTCTAATATCTAATAGACTGTTCCCTTCCTCGATTAAACTGCTGTCCAACTCGATTACTCTGTTCCCCACCTGGACTTCATCGCCCCCCCCCCCCCCCCCCCCCCCCATATTGTTTTACATTGCCAACTCGCATTCACCGTTCCCCAATTTGAATACACTGTTTCTTAACTTCATAGCACTGCTCCAAAAGTTGCAAATAATGTTCCAAACCATATATACTCTGTTCCCTCCCACAGTAACACTGTTCCTCACCTTAATTCCAATGTTTCCTCACTTGATTACACAATTTCAACCTTTCATGCATGCATTGTTTACAACCTAATTACACTGTTCCTCAATGTTATTACACTGTTCCTCACCTTAATGACACTATTTCTTACATCAATTACACTGGTCCTCGCCTTCATTACACTGATCCTCATCTTGCATATTCATCTCTCACAGTAGTATGAACTTTTTTTTACCTCGCATTAACCGTCCCCCACCTTGAATACACTGTTCCCCACCTCAATGACACTGCTCCTCACCTCACATACACTGTTTCCCACCTCAATTACACCGCTCCTCACCTCCCATACACTGTCCCCTCCTCAATGACACTGCTCCTCACCTCACATACACTGTTTCTCACCTCAATGACACTGCTCCTCAACTCACATACACTATTTCCCCCCTCAATGACACTGCTCCTTACCTCACATACACTGTTCCCCACCTCAATTACACTGCTCCCCACTTAACATACAGTGTTTCCCACCTCAACTACACTGCTCCTCACCTCACATACACTGTTTCTCACCTCAATGAGACTGCTCCTTAACTCACATCCACTATTTCCCACCTCAATGACACTGCTCCTTACCTCACATACACTGTTCCCCACCTCAATTACACTGCTCCCCACTTAACATACAGTGTTTCCCACCTCAACTACACTGCTCCTCACCTCACATACACTGTTTCCCACCTCAATTACATCGCTCCTCACCTCCCATACACTGTTCCCCGCCTCAATGAAACTAATCCCCACCTCACATACACTGTTCCCCACCTCAATGACACTGCTCTTCACCTCACCTACACTGTTTCCCACCTCAATCAAACTGCTCCTCACCCCACCTACATTGTTCCCCACCTCAATTACACTGCTCCCCACCTCACATACAGTGTTTCCCACCTCAATGACACTGCTCCCCACCTCACATACAGTGTTTCCCATCTCAATTAAACTGATCCCCACCTCACATACACTGTTCCCCACCTCAATTACACTGCTCCTCACCTCACCTACACTGTTTCCCACCTCAATTACACTGCTCCTCGCCTCACATACATTGTTCCCAACCTCAATTACACTGCTCCCCACCTCACATACAGTGTTCCCACCACAATTACACTGCTCCTCACCTCACATACACTGTTCCCCGCCTCAATGACACTGCTCCTCACCTAACATACACTGTTTCTCACCTCAATGACACTGCTCCTCAACTCACATACACTATTTCCACCTCAATGACACTGCTCCTCCCCTCACATACACTGTTCCCACCTCACATACACTGTTCCCACCTCAATGACACAGCTCCTCACCTCACATACACTGCTCCCCACCTCACGTACACGGTTTCCCACCTCACATACACTGTTTCCTACCTCAATTACACCGCTCCTCACCTCACATACACTGTTCCCCGCCTCAATGGCACTGCTCCTCACCTCACATACACTGTTTCGCACCTCAATGACACTGCTCCTTAACTCACATACACTATTTCCCACCTCAATGACACTGCTCCTTACCTCACATACACTGTTTCCCACCTCAATGACACTGCTCCTCACCTCACATACCCTGTTCCCACCTCAATGACACAGCTCCTCACCTCACATACACTGCTCCCCACCTCACGTACACGGTTTCCCACCTCACATACACTGTTTCCTACCTCAATTCCACCGCTCCCCACCTCACATACACTGTTCCCCGCCTCAATGGCACTGCTCCTCACCTCACATACACTGTTTCCCACCTCAATGACACTGCTCCTTAACTCACATACACTATTCCCCACCTCAATGACACTGCTCCTTACCTCACATACACTGTTTTCCACCTCAATGACACTGCTCCTCACCTCACATACACTGTTCCCACCTCAATGACACAGCTCCTCACCTCACAAACACTGTTTCCCACCTCAATATCACTGCTCCTCACGTCACATACACTGTTTCCGACCTCAATTACACTGCTCCTCACTTCACATACACTGTTTCCCATCTCAATTAAACTGATCCCCACCTCACATACACTGTTCCCCACCTCAATTACACTGCTCCTCACCTCACCTACACTGTTTCCCACCTCAATTACACTGCCCCTCGCCTCACATACATTGTTCCCAACCTCAATTACACTGCTCCCCACCTCACATACAGTGTTCCCACCACAATTAAACTGCTCCTCACCTCACATACACTGTTCCCCGCCTCAATGACACTGCTCCTCACCTCACATACACTGTTTCCCATCTCAATTAAACTGATCCCCACCTCAGATACACTGTCTCAAACCTCAATTACACTGCTCCTTACCTCACATACACTGTTTCCCACCTTAATTACACCGCTCCTCACTTCACATACACTGTTCCCTATCTCAATTATACTGCTCCCCACCTCATATACACTGTCTCCAACCTCAATTAAACTGCTCCTTACCTCACAGACACTGTTTCCCACCTCAATGACACTACACCTCACCTCACATACACGGTTTCCCATTTCAATTACACTGCTTCTGACCTCACATACACTGTTCCACACCTCATATACACTGTTCCCACCTCACATACACTGTTCCCCACCTCAATTACACCGCTCCTCACTTCACCTACACTGTTTCCCACCTCAATTATACTGCTCCTCACCTCACATACACTATTCCCCACCTCAATTACACCGCTTCTGACCTCACATACACTGTTCCACACCTTATATACACTGTTCCACACCTCACATACACTGTTCCCACCTCACATACACTGTTCCCCACCTAAATTACACTGCTTCTCAACTCACCTACGCTGTTTCGCACCTCAATGACACTGCTCCTTACCTCACATACACTGCTCCTCACCTCACATACATTGTTCCCCACCTCAATTACACTGCTCCCCACCACACATACAGTGTTTTCCACCTCAATGACACTGCTCCTCACCTCACATACACTGTTCCCCATCTCAATTAAACTGATCCCCACCTCACATACACTGTCTCCAACCCCAATTACACTGCTCCTTACCTCACATACATTGTTTCCCACCTCAATTACACTGCTCCTCACTTCACATACACTGTTTCCCACCTCAATTACACTGCTCCCCACCTCACATATACTGGTCCTCACCTCACATACACTGATCCCACCTCACATACACTGTTCCCACCTCACATACACTGTTCCCACCTCACATACACTGTTCCCACCTCAATTTTTCTGCTCCTCACCTCACACACAATGTCTCCAACCTCAATTACACTGCTCCTCACCTCACATACAATGTTTCCCACCTCAATTACACCGCTCCTCACTTCACATACACGGTTCCTATCTCAATTATACTGCTCCCCAACTCATATACACTGTCTCCAACCTCAATTACACTGCTCCTCACCTCACATACAATGTTTCCCACCTCAATTACACCGCTCCTCACTTCACATACACGGTTCCTATCTTAATTATACTGCTCCCCACCTCATATACACTGTCTCCAACCTCAATTACACTGCTCCTCGCCTCACATACACTGTTTCCCACCTCAAAGACACTACACCTCACCTCACATACACGGTTTCCCATCTCAATGACACTGCTTCTGACCTCACATACACTGTTCCACACCTCATATACACTGTTCCACACCTCACATACACTGTTCCCACCTCACATACACTGTTCCCCACCTAAAATACACTGCTCCTCAACTCACCTACGCTGTTTCGCACCTCAATTACACTGCTCCTCACTTCACATACACTGTTTCCCACCTCAATGACACTACACCTCACCTCAAATACACGGTTTCCCACCTCAATTACACTGCTTTTGACCTCACATACACTGTTCCACACCTCATATACACTGTTCCCACCTCACACACAATGTTCCCCACCTTAATTACACCGCTCCTCACTTCACATACACTGTTTCCTATCTCAATTATACTGCTCCCCACCTCACATACACTGTCTCCAACCTCAATTACACTGTTCCTCACTTCACATACACTGTTTCCCACCTCAATGACAATACACCTCACCCCAATTACACGGTTTCCCACCGCAATTACACTGCTTCTGACCTCACATACACTAATCCACACCTCATATACACCGCTCCTCACTTCACATACACTGTTCCCTATCTCAATTATACTTCTCCCAACCTCACATACACTGTCTCCAACCTCAATTACACTGCTCCTTACCTCATATACACTGTCTCCAACCTCAATTACACTGCTCCTCACTTCACATACACTGTTTCCCACCTCAATGATACTACACCTCACCTAACATACACGGTTTCCCACCTCAATTACACTGCTTCTGACCTCACATACACTGTTCCACACCTCATATACACTGTTCCCACCTCACATACAATGTTTCCCACCTCAATTACACCGCTCCTCACTTCACATACACTGTTTCCTATCTCAATTATACTGCTCCCCACCTCACATACACTGTTCCCACCTCATATACACTGTCTCCAACCTCAATTACACTGCTCCTTACCTCACATACACTGTTTCCCACCTCAATTACACCGCTCCTCGTTTCACATACACTGTTTCCTATCTCAATTATACTGCTCCCCAACTCACATTTACTGTTTGCAACCTCAATGACACTACACCTCACCTCACATACACGGTTTTCCACCTCAACGACACTACACCTCACTTCACATACACGTTTACCCACCTCAATTACACTGCTTCTGACCTCACATACACTGTTCCACACCTCACATACACTGTTACCACCTCACATACCTGCTCCTCACCTCACATACAATGTTTCCCACCTCAATTACACCGCTCCTCACTTCACATACACTGTTTCCTATCTCAATTATACTGCTCCCCACCTCACATACACTGTTCCTACCTCATATACACTGTCTCCAACCTCAATTACACTGCTCCTTACCTCACATACACTGTTTCCCACCTCAATTACACCGCTCCTCGTTTCACATACACTGTTTCCTATCTCAATTATACTGCTCCCCACCTCACATACACTGTTCCTACCTCATATACACTGTCTCCAACCTCAATTACACTGCTCCTTACCTCACATACACTGTTTCCCACCTCAATTACACCGCTCCTCGTTTCACATACACTGTTTCCTATCTCAATTATACTGCTCCCCAACTCACATTTACTGTTTGCAACCTCAATGACACTACACCTCACCTCACATACACGGTTTTCCACCTCAACGACACTACACCTCACTTCACATACACGTTTACCCACCTCAATTACACTGCTTCTGACCTCACATACACTGTTCCACACCTCACATACACTGTTCCACACCTCATATACACTGTTCCCCCCTCACATACAATGTTTCCCACCTCAATTACACCGCTCCTCACTTCACATACACTGTTTCCTATCTCAATTATACTGCTCCCCAACTCACATTTACTGTTTGCAACCTCAATGACACTACACCTCACCTCACATACACGGTTTTCCACCTCAACGACACTACACCTCACTTCACATACACGTTTACCCACCTCAATTACACTGCTTCTGACCTCACATACACTGTTCCACACCTCACATACACTGTTCCTCACCTCACATACCCTGGTCCTCACCTCACATACACTGTTCCTCACCTAACATACACTGTTCCTCACCTCACATACACTGTTCACACTGTTCCCACCTCACATACACTGTTCCCACCTCAATTTTTCTGCTCCTAACTTCAGTAACCATTAAACATGTCAACAAAACAAGCAACCAGAATGCCATCCTCGGTATCCAGGGGTAACGCTCACTGCACCCCTGAAATATGGCATAGCAAATCGAAGGCTCAGTGTGCAGCACCTTGTGGATGAGACGAGAAACCAGTTTGATCATTTGATGTACATCAAAAGAACTTCGCAGTCGCGTGACGGTAAAACTTACTGGCTTTGAAGTCGGGCGTCGCTCCTTCGAATGACCAGTATCAGACTAATGATTGGTCAGATGTTTTTACCTGAAACTAATCAAATAGCTTGCCGCGTGCCTTTGATTTGTTATGACATATCCCAGGGGTGCAGAGAGCGAAAGTGAGCGTAACCCCTGGATACGGAGGATGGCATAACAGAATACAATTTTTCAGCACAGATCAATATTCATTAAAGGTATTTTTTGTTTGCTCCGGTCGTACGTGATTAATGTTAATGTCCCAAAAACGGGATAGTACTCAAAACGGGGGAGAAATTGTGGGAAAGCGGCCTAAAAATTGGTATGCAATTCAAAGCAGCACTTTTAATGCGATTTTCACTGCATGCTATTTTTCTGATCATTCAACTATACATCGGCTTTACCGGCTGTTGGTTATGGTTATCTAGACAGTTTAAAGTTAGAAACAATTACAAAAATAATCATTTTTAATGTACGTGCCATGAAACGCTATATATCTATTTGGATATAAAAAAAAAAAAATAATAGAACCATGTGCCAAAAATATAAACTTGTAATAGAAAAAGAAAAGTGGATTATATCATTTTATAAAAAAAAACCACGAAAAATCTGTATTTGAATTGATGCTATGGTATTACATACATCAAAATTTCACTAAAAGTGTTCTGTTTATGGATACACTGCATGTAACATTAACTTGCGGAGGTACTGGATGGGAGTCGGAGGGTTACGTCGTTTTCTTAATCAAAATGATACTACTCATGATCTTATAAATATGATACATTGAAATGCGCAAACAATCTAAAAGGCACTACGTGCCTACATCAAACTATTACATGATTATCTTTTTAAAATATTCGACGAAAGTAAATAAAACGACAGCTCATTACGAGGCGAATTAGTCACATTATCCGAAATGATGACAGCTAATACACCTTTATAAATGTCAGACAACATCTGAAGCCTGGGAAACAGTTATGGTTAAAATAATTGCGCTGTCAAATGCCTTGTCGTACTATATAAGGACGAGCGTCCTGGCGGTCCGGAAACGCTTTCCTGATTCCAAGTATGTGGCACACGCTTACCATCGGACTTTTGGCCACCCTGGCCGGGCCATATGGTAAATAAACATTTTATTTTATTTTAAAATCAGTTCTTTTTATTGCATAAGAACATGGAAAACTTCAAACATAGTAATCTATTCATGGACATTTTATGTTTAACTATTTATACCCTTTCTAAATAGCTAAATTATATCATGATACAGGCTAAGCACATATCATAAAAGTGGGATAAGAGCCTCAAATTATTATTATTTCTGATCTACATTGATTAATACAGAACAAGATTATAAACGAAGCATATCAGAGCCCAGAGAAATTGATACGTAGATAGTATTAATGGTAACTGACTCATAATTCTGCAAAAGGTTACAGAAGGCGGGCGTCAGTAATATTGATTTGTTGTCAAATACGACTAACAGAAAATGACCTGACCTTTGTAAAAGTTCGAAATATGGTTCAATAACTGTAGTGATTGATAGAGATTCAATTTAAAAAAATCCTTTTTTCACTTTATTTACCAAACAATAGGTAATGTATCATGTTTCATATAAAAAACACTTTAGAAATAAGATACATCAAGATCGAATAAAGTCATATTTAACTCAAAAGCAAAATGTTAAAAGTTAAATACACAGAGTGTAAATAATTCTGATCAGTGACAATACAGATATAGAGATATCAAAAGCTTCAAAGTTTTTTTCCAACATACACGAAGACTGCAAGAACGGAAGTCCATAACTATGTCCAGAGACGGAGTTAAATTACTATTAACATAGAATGAAGATGATGAGAGCCAAGCGAAGTAAATATTTTCAAGGCACCATTTCGCCATTTCGTTCATTCAAGTCATGTCAGTGGTACTAAGAGTCAAAAGATTGGAATAAAACATAAAAAAGTGTTCCGAAATAAATATAGCAAAAATAGCAGAACAGTATCTAGTAAAAGCAACACTAAACAAAAATGATGGGAAAATTATATTAGCCCTTTTGGAGTCTTTGGTACGCGCTTAACACACCTTAACTTAGAGGCAAACATTGAAGTGCGTTGTTAGTTCTGTGATCAGCGAACAATTCTAACGAACTGCCTGATCCTCAAGTTGCGAAACATCATGTCTCCATTAATCATTGCTTGTTCCTCTATCTCCGTCATGACAATAGCTACATGCTGTCCTTGGTAGTTGTACGTGAGATTTAGCTGACTGCTGGCAACAGTGGTCGCCACAGTGGTTCGAGTCTGTCGGGATGCCGGGAAGTCGTCACCGTTGTCGCTGGCTTTTCTTGGTTTGAATATGCAGCAGCATAACAGGATAGTCTGTTTGATAGTAAATAAGAGGACTGAATGGTGTTGGTTTTTTTTGTTTCAGAAATTCATGAATATCAGACAATAGTTCATAACATACCTAAACCTCTCTTTGACTATAAACACTGGATACTAACCTGAAGCATGACGTAGACACCACTGGCGAGACACAGGCCAAACGAATAACCGTACGAGAATTCCGGCACGTCTATGGTAGACATCGCACCACATCCGACTATACTTAATAACCCTGTGTGAAAACCCATAAAGAGCTAAGTTCTGTAGCCTGGCATTGACGTCATTGTTTCACTCCTCGTAAGCAGTTATCATAAGTATACGCCTATGTATTTTTCTTAATTGGAATTTAAATGAGAACTTTGAGGTAATTTCCCAAAAAACTAATATCAAAGCAAATTATTTACGAATATGTAGCTTGACAATATTGTTTTGGGATAAAAGTCCATTTTATTGGTAATGACACGAATGCATAAATCTTGTTTGTTAACTTTTAAAGAACGGATACACTTTTGTGTAGTTTTGGGATTCGTTATGGGCGGATGTCCTCTGCAAATATCATTATAAGCTTTAAAGAGATTGCAAAGGGGAGAAACTCTATTCGGCTTGTGTCATGTATCACTAGAATATCATCATACAACATTAATTACTCTATGACATTACAAATGATGTCATCATTGTTACTTCAATACCGCTGACCAACCCTTAAGATAGGCGTTTTATTTATTCAACAAGTTTAGACGATTAATACATTTATTCGAGGTTTTTGCCGAATTTTGATAAAGTCGTTTGAATTTCTACCAAATTGAACTTTTAAGTGGTTAAAGAATAAAAGGAATTTTCTTGTTCTTCCCTTTTTGGTGTTTTCTCGTTTTTATGCATTGACTGCTTTCAGATGATATGCATTGCCAATATGAAGTGAAATGGAACATCTAAATGACGCGCTTGCGCACGCCATGTTTCATATTTCCAGTTGACATTCCGATTGACGTTGAATGCTAATTGAAAGCATGTCAATGCATAAAAGCGAAAAAATGCCAATAAGGAAGAACTATATAAAAAAAAGTTGCAAAATTGTTTCTAAAAGACATCTACAAACATGTAGAAGTTAACATACCTGCAGCTGGGTACATCATGATGGAGCATCCGGCACAACATAAACAGCATCCAACGTCATCGGCATCTTCTCCGCTACAGCACATCAGCCATATCGAGGTCAAATAAATTAGCAGGTGGATGGCGAATGACGTTGCTTGTAGGCCAAGGGCGGCTGAGCTGATATCTTAAACGAACGCATATACAGACTTTACACATTTAGGGACAATGAATGGAAAATTGTCTTAACAACAACGGAAAGAGACCAAAGACTTCCAATTACAATACGTTCGTTTAAACCAATCAAGATAAACTACCTGTAGTTCCCAAGACGAGTTCCGTTAGACTTCAGTTGTAGATAAAATGATATTAAGCAAAATTGACTGTTTGCTTGCAATGGAACAGGGATCCATATTTTTTGCCGTAAAATTGAAAGAGATAAAAAATTAAAAGTGTCAACCCCATGTAGGGACCAAATATACCACAGTGTCAGCAAAGATAGAATGTATCAACAAACAAGGCTGAATTATATACCACAACGTAAACATTTCATCGCGTCCAATACGAGGACAAAATATATCACAATGGCAAATACCGGTACAAATACAAAACAAAGTCAACAGAAAAATAGAAAATAACCACAGCTTCAGCACAAAGATAACATACAACAAATAAGTATAACACATGGTCATCACACACGAGCACATTATGTACCACAGCGTCAACAGCACAAAGTCTATCACGAAATATATCTCAGCGATAGCATAGAAACAAAAGATTAACATGTACTAATTGTAATGGGGGACCATTACAGATGTCCCCAAACTGCCTGCCCCCATAGTCGCATAGATGCATCTGAAAAGTATCGCATTGCCATAATACTCCTATAATGTACATACTAAATATGAGTGAAATCGAACAATACCGAAATTTCGACCAAACAGAAGCTTCCGTGTGGTTGCTATGGAAACGAAACATATGCACTTGAATTCGCAGTCCCTTAATACCCCTACATACCAATTTTCATTAAAATCTAACAATATCTAAGTTTCGACCAATCAGAAACCTCCGTGTGGTTGCAATGGCAACGAAACCTATGCGATTGAATTTGCAGTCCCCTTATACCCCCATATACCAATTTTCATCAAAACCGAACAATATCAAAATTTCGACCAAGATGCAAAAAAAACATATTCTGAAAAATGTTTATCCAGGGGAACTATTTATTTTAGAGAGGGCTATGTCCACAACCTAAATTTAACAAAAAACGATGTCCAAGCGGAGGTGGCAATCGGAGGGAGATGCTACCGAAGCATGAGAAAGGGGGAGAAGCCACACTTGTTAACATTACATGTACAGTAGGCTTAACAAAGAAGTGTGTTAAGGACGCATTCTGTTCAGCTGGTTGATTATCCAGTTTGGGTCTGTCGAGTTCCGTTTTTATTTTCTTTTTTTAATTAAACGGTTGTTCAAAATATCATGGAGTGATGTACGTTGGTTTCCTTGCTCTGACGTTTTTTTTAATAGCGGTATCCGCAGCTCAATACTTGGCAATTCTCCCTATTTAGGAGGGAGACTCACGAGTTGCACATCTACATAGTAATGACCACCTTCATCTATTTGAAGATCATGTCATGTGATAGTGGGTGCTAGGCCAAGAGAAGAAATTGAGCAATTTAAACTGGTGAATTTGCTAAAATTTCATCTGAAAGAACAGCTCAAAAGATGCCATTTTCTTAGGGTGTACAGTACATACATACATTTGTTTTAATCTCCTCGATGGACATTTTAAAAGTTGGGAAGTATGACAAGCTGGTGTTAAACTGTTTATGTGTGTTCTTACCTATAGCAATATGATCATATATGAACCCCCTATATATATGCGTGTACCCTAAACTACAGACTGTAGTGCAGGCCTAACGTACAATAATGGCAGTCAATGAGTCATTCAAAATGTAAAAATTATATATAACAAAAGATGGACATTGATAACGTTAACAGTCATCTCCGACATCTGTTGCTGTACTGTGCGATTACATCCAAAAAAAACCAAGGGAGTAGGCCCTATTCAAAACATTTGTTCCTAAATGTACTGTTTACAGTGAAGAAATAAAAAGTAAAAAACATTAGTCGTTTTAATTATATTTAATTATTCCTTTAATGCACTCATCCAAGTTCTGCAAATGAAGTTAATAGCAGCTTACATAAAGGCATAACATAGACATTTATCCCTCCCTTTTGTCCTCTTTTTAAGGACAAAGCATTAATTCTGTGTTGATAACAAATCATCAGTACATTATTACCCCATGCCCCATTCCAAAAATTATATAGTATTACCCTTCCTCCATTCTTCAATATCTAAGAGTGACAAGATCTGATGTGCAGCAGGCCTAGTTTACGAGTTTCTTCCATCTGCGCCAGGGACTTGCGAACTTACAACGTTTCACGGTATGCCAGGGGTTCGCATCCTGTTCTGCAAATCACTGCTTGAGTGGGGATAGCAAATCTAAAAGCCAGATCTTTAAGACCAAAATTGTGTCGCAGTCTCATCAATGTTAACAACAGTTTATCCTCGCACTCCATGTTAACTATGTCTTTCATGTTATTATGGTGTTGTGGGGCCTGAATAGTGAGAAAGTCAAGTAGGGCCTGGAATGTTGAGAATTTGAATCCTGTATAATATTCAAATAATCCTTGAATCTGTGATTCCTCCTTTAAAATCTCCTGAACAGTCAGTGGTTTGGGTTTGTCATCACTTACAGGATTTCCCAATGTAGCTTCATGTTGCTCAAGGCTTTAGACTGATGAACTTGTTGTTGTAGCCTCTTGATTTCAGCTGCTGCTGATAGCAGTTCCAAAGATGTTCCTGAAAAAAAATTCTATAAATAAATCAAATTCAGCTGATTTTATTCTATTTTCAGTCTCAGAAGAATGACATTGCTTTTAACAATGGCAATGTCATGTCTTGCTGAGAAATGATTTATACCCAACCAGTAAAAGTTAGGTTGCCACCTTGTTACCAAGATTTGGGGAAATGTCCACCAATAGGGAGAATAAATATAATAAAGTCTATCCTAATTTCTCAATTTAATCACTTATTTATCGCTTTACCAAATCCTGATAATACATTTATCAAAAAGATAAATACAGAAATATATAATTTCCTCTGCAATAGTAAGATTGATAAAATTAAAAGAGATGTAATTATTAAAAACTTTTCTGATGGTGGTCTCAAAATGATTCATATTAAATCATTTATAGACTCATTAAAACTAACTTGGATTAGAAGATTACTCTCAACAAAAGGAACATGGCAAATTATTTTTAATTCAAATATTGATAAAAACCTTATTGTAAACTGTGGACCAGACTATATTTCCTTTTGTCATAATAACTGTAAAAATCTTTTCTGGGAAAGATGTCTTTCTTGCAAGGAAAAATCTTACTATTCTTGAGGAAAAATATACAGATTCAAAACAGATCTCCGACATGCCTATATGGTTAAACGAAAAAATCAAAATAGATAATAATAGTGTTTTTTATAAGGATTGGTATAGGTAGGGAGTTGTAGTAGTTAATGACTTAAAAAAGGATAACAACAACTTCTTCAGTTTTTTTGAAATAAGAGAAAAATATGGTGTTAGAACAAATTTCTTACAATATCACGGAATTGTTACAGCTATAAGGGAGCTTTGCAGTCGGTGTAACTTGACCCATCCAAAAATAGACTATCCTTTTATTCCAAGAAAATTACAAATATTTGCTAAAAAACAGAAAGGTACAAAAGATTTTTATAATGTGCTTAGTAAAAATGATATAATTGCAAGTGGAACAAAAAAATGGAATGAACAATTTGAATTTGATGAAGGTGATTGGAAAATGATTTTTAAACTCCCTTTTTCTGTAACAAAAAATACAAAATTGCAATGGTTTCAATTTAGGGTTAATCACCATATTCTAACAACAAATTCGTATTTATTTAAAGTTGGGTTAGTAGACAGCCCTTATTGTAACATTTGTAAAACAGAAATTGAAACGATAGAGCATACGCTATGGAACTGTGAAAAAGTTCAAATTTTACTTGTTAACTTAGAAAATTTGTTGAATTCACTGTTCATTCCATTTGAATTTAATAAGAAATCTTTTCTTTTTGGTACATATCGTCAGAATGGAATAAACAGAAAAGTGGATAATATGATCATCTTTACAATAAAACAATATATCTACAAAGCAAGGTGCCTCAGGAACGAACTCTGCATTATTGCCCTGAAAAATACACTAAAAGATACATATACAACTCAAAAATACATTGCTAGAAGTAAGGGAGAAAGCTACTTAGACCAGTTTCAAAGAGAATGGGCCAAATGGCAAAACTTTTTTTGAAACACCCAAACTTGAAATTACGACTGATTTACCATAAGCAACTTATCAATTTATAAATATATTTGTTATATTGAGTAAATGTAAATATTGATTACGCTCACACTGACAGCTAGCTTAGAAATTCAAAATGTAATACAAATTTTCAACAATCCTACCTTTCCTTTTTGATAATTGTATGGATGTTTGTATGATAATGAATGAGTGTGTGTATGTCTTTATATATGTTTGTGTTATGTCATGTTATATATATATATTGTAACTGTATTGTATACTAATGTAAAAATTTGAAAAAAATAAAAATAAAAAAAAATAAAAATAAAAAAGATTTGGGGAAATGTCAAAGGTTGCAATGTTGGAAAAGGCAACACGGTCCCAAAGTACCAACACCCTATGGAACAGACTCAGAGAGAAAAGACTTACAGCATCTCAGATGTTCAAAGTTGTAAACAGAAAGAAAGGTCCTACTGATGCTATGCTAAGAGATTTGTTTACAATAAAGACATTCTCTTCTGTAGCAACCGATTATGGTGTTAGTAGGGGGAAAATTGCCATAGAAAAATATGTCAGTCAAAAGTCTGTCTAAAACATACATGTCCATGATTGTGGGTTAGTGATAAACAATGAATTTTCCCATCTAGCCGCCACACCTGATGGTAAAGTATGTGACAAAGGGGAGACTGGTATTGTGGAAATAAAATGTCCCTTTGTAGCAAGGCAGATGAGTATTACTGAAGCTTGCAATGTGATCCAGAATTTTGTACCTAGCTATGAAAACAATGTTGTAAAAATGAACAGAAAATACAACTACTATGTTCAAATACAGGGACAACTGCTTAACTGCTAGTCACAGGTGCTCCATGGTGTGACCTTGTTTTCACAACAAAAGAACTGTTTGTTGAAAGAATTTATCCTGATATTCAATTTATGACCAACATATTACTTCAGCTGTCATTTTTCTACAAGTATCATGCTTTACCATACCTCAAAAGATAAGGTATACCATATAGCTTTACCTAAATCACACCAACTGAGCAAACCCAATAATAATTTACATTTACACACATACTGTTCATTGATATTGCCACAATTTCACATTAGAACTTGAAGCCTTTGAAATATATTGGTTTGCAATTCCTGGTCTCTAAAAATTGTATTAATTGATAATAGTTATACATGTATACAGTGAACCCTGTCTAACCTGACATTCACTGGGGCATAACATACTGGTAAGATTACAGAAAAATAGTCTGCCAAAAGTCTAAATACACAGGTCATATACTATTATTTTCATAACACATGGGATTACAGCATTATGTGTAAAGTGTCTCAATAATCAGGGGTCGGACGAGACAGGCTTCACTGTATTTTGTTCCAGGTAAAACTGGTATTAAATATTTAATGAAAACCAATACAATTGAAATTGTACACAACACTACCATAAGTATTCTAGGACTATATACATATGGAGATTACATGCCAAATGAGTTTGATATATAGTGCATAGTTCAGTTTCTGGTTTTATAAATAAAATGATGTTTTGGTATCTTTTCAGTTTCAAACTTTATCTCATTTTTATACTAAAGCATATCTATACCTTGGACATCAATTTGTACAAGATCATGTTCTTGCTGTGGTGCTGCTACATGGCCAGTACTGTCTGGAGTAATAAATGGGACTGAAGTGGGCTGGGGATCCTCCATATCATTGCTCAGTTCAGTGCTGTGTCTTGACAATAAAGAAATGAAGAAATTATTTTATAATGGCTTTTCAAGACTTAACAGTTTAGGTGTAACCATAATTATTTACAATATGATCTCAATGTATTCCTCTTTTGATATATCACAACATTAAGACATGGAGAATGGGTTGAAAAAAACACCAAAGACTCATTGGTTAGAAACTAGAAAGGGATATATCTTTCAATAAAATCAATCACTTACAGTATAACTACATGCCCTGGATTAATTTATATAAAAAATCTCACTTTAGAATGTCTATTTCAATTTGTATGTATGCACACTAGACATTTTGGGAAAAACAATTTGTTTATCAAAATGTTTAAACACCTAGGTATAAAGAAGTTAATTGATTATAGCTTATCTGGTTCACTGCAACATATTTCCTGTCAGGACAATACTTTCTACTTGGAAAATCTATAGCACTGAAAAACTGATCATAATTACAAATGTACTGATACATAAAATACTATTATGGTCAAAATTGAAATGTTCATTATAAGAGCAGATTCCTTAGCAGTTTTCATAATGCCTGAGTCTCCAATGAAGGCGGCACTTTTTATTCCTCCTCCATTAGCTGGCAAAGGATCGGGGTATTCTTCTGATGGTCCCAACTCACTCATAAAATGCTGAAACAAACGAGAAGTATATATGACTTGTAAAATCAGAATGAAAAGGGAGGGGCTTTATAAACATAACAAAATTAGATATATCATGAACAGTATCATGACAAATTAATAGTTTCTTCTTTGGATTGTTAAATATTTGTCATGGATTTTTTTTTATGTCACTTGCAACCATTATATCAGTAACATAACATAATATTGTAGGTTAACAACCCTACCGTCTGTGTATTTTTCTTTATCAAGAGTACTGTCAGTACAGTACTGTACTGACTGAGTTATATTGTTCATACATGTATATGTAACACCAACCTTCTGTGATTTTTCTAAAAACAACCTCGAGATCACATGATTGATTGCTCCCTGTACATGTCGTGTACTCTCGTAAAAGTCTAACGGCAAACAGTTAACAAGTATCTTCTACTTTCATTTTGTTGACATAGGGGCATGTAATACAGCTGTAATGTAAACAACTAATGGGTCAACAAAATGTTGGTTTTATTAAGATTAAAGATAATAATTGATATGTGTTTGCTGCTTGCACATCCGCAACTCTTTATATGCGTATGAATTAAACCAGCAGAACAGACGACATCAAAATAAGAAATGATGATTCCGCTGTGCATGCCCCTGTGTTGGACCGACAGCTCTTATGTTTACACAGTGTCATAATAAGTTTTGCTCGAGACATATTAAAAACATATGAATGAAATTGAGGATTATGTGAGTATTGCCTGTTTGGTCAACCATATACTCTGCTTTACTACATTATATTTTCTAATATCGGGATATAAACATACCTTTGAACAAACGGACTTGTGTCTATCTTTATTTGTTGCGTTAAGCTGCGAATGGGGTCGTCCACAAGCCTGCACCCATCTCAGGTATGTTTCTAGGTTGGTTTTAGGGTTTTGGAAAGGGAATAAATGTCACACAGTTCTCCAATCTTTCTGCATATCGGCTGTCGCTGTTGCAGGTTCCCCAGGAGAACTTCTTCACCATTATTTCACTGCCGTTTGTATTTTCCCTCGTGTCAATGTCCGACAAAGTTGTCGGAGGTAATGGCCGACAATCGAACTCGCGCTCTGATTGGCTGAATTTGTATAGCAACCGCGTTGCTAACAACGATGTGGAAGGGTGAATTTCATTGTTCATTAAAATCGAACAATATCTAAATTTCGACTAATCAGAAGCCTCCGTGTTGTTGCTTTTGCAAAATTCGGAATAAAAAAACCCATGTCTCTCCTCCTCATCTATATGTATGCAAAGTTTCATTCAGTTCTGTCGAGTCATCTCTGTTAAAACGTCCGGACAAGTTCACGGCGGATGCGATTGAAAGAAGAAAAAGAAGAAGGAGAAGAAAAGGAAGAAGTAGAAGAAACGGACCAAAAACAATAGGGGACATAACTAAAGCTTATACACACAAGCACAAAATGCACCGCAAATGATCTGTATGCAATGATCTTCAGTGAATAGGGCCAGAATATAATATATTTATTTAAAGAGTCACAGGGCAAAACAATTGCTGTGAACCTTTACAATTCAACGAATTGTTAATCATTGTCGGGTATTAAACATTTAAATGGTGTGTGTGTACACAACGTACGGTATTAAAGTGACTGGGAAAACACATGGATAGACTACGACACTGAGCCAATGTATAAAAAACCAGTCGTGTTCACGGTCAATTAAGAATCATGACTGACTTCACCAGCAGTTTAGTTTTCATGAATTGTTGCATTATGTATGTTATAACATGAGATCCCAGAGGGAACTTGGTGCCCACGATCGTAAATTTTTCATTAATTAGGGATTTCCATTTCGGATGGAAATCCCTATTGATATTGTTATGTTTTTTTCTTTAAGTTTCTTATTCTTATTTTCAGAAATTTTGTTAACAATTTATCTCAAGAACGAACAAAGATGGTACGTTCATATTTTAGTACATGATAGCGGACAACGAACTCCAGACAATTGAACAAAAATCATGATCGTAATGTCAAAGGTTAAGGTCACAGATCTAAAAACATATTTAGAACGACCATAACTTCATAAGCGTTTGTTGTTCTGCATGAACGTTATTTGGATTTTATAGATCTTAGTCGGGACTAATTTTTTCCTATGACATGTTATCAGAGAATATGTCAAGTTCAAGGCCTCGCTATGGGGTCAAACAAAGGTCAAAAATGAAATTCTCAACATGAGCTTTTTCTACTACCGATTTTGAAGAGCAAAATCTAAAGAAGGTTTGTGAAATGTTTCATGGTCATAGCATCAAAAAAGACGAAGATATGCCACTTTGAAAATTTCGTTTTCCCGCCAAAATTTTCAAAAATGCACTTAAACTCTCATGTACTTTTAATGGCAATGATATAGTATCCTCGTTTCTCATAATGTAGGGTTGTCGTAGTAGAGTTCGTACATATACTTATACTGGCAATGATATAGCGTTCTCAGTATTCTCAGTCCTTTGATTTATATTAAGATATCTAATACACGCTGGTAAAGCTTCATCAATTACAACGCACTCTCAATCTTAAAAGTAGGGATAGTTTAAATCTCTACTGAGGAAGGTATCATCAGCTTTGTTTTGCATGGCAAACCAAACAGGTATAGACGAAATGCTAGTTTTATTCATCATCCTGATATGCATAGTTGAGGGACTATATGACTTTTACGGACTACCTACCTTCGTATACAACACCGCTCATTGGCTGCCTATATTTACCAATTCCTTCTCTGACGTCATTTCGCACTCTGTGAATCCCCACTACTCAGTCAGCTACTGTAGACTTGCACAAGTTCAAAGGGCAATAACTCATACAGAAAATTTAAACTCTGTAGAGACTGTCCACTTACTGCGGTCCTATTGAATCACAGATCTGACCTTATCTACAAACAAGGTTAATCTTCCAAACTTATCAGACATAATAGTCAGCTTCAATATGTCCAGGAACAATTTACTCACTGTATGTTTAAATGTTTGTTTTCTATTTTTTTGCAATTACATCCAAAGACATTCATTATGATAATTCATAATATATTACTGATAGATTTTCATAGCTTCTTTTTTAATATGTAAAAGTGTTCTGTTTATATTATATAAATTGGTGAAGGTAACCAGGCTTTTTTCGGTGACCAGTCAGTCTACAATACACAGAGTCACTGTGCATCATTTGGCTAGGTGTTGTTGGGTCCAAATAACAGCTGTCAATCAACATTGCCTGTGTGACCATCATGATGTGTACTGGGGTTTGGTGTCGCTGTGTCCAAAAAACAGAACTGATATCACAAAAACCTATGGTATGAATAAGGTACATGTGCAAGGTTTGTCAGAGAAGGGAAGCGAAGGGAGGGAAACGTATAAAAGCGATCGTCAGTCCGAGATCATTTCTTTGTTCTTTTTCTTGTTTGAAATCCCGTGTTTTGATATTGATCAAATCTAGTTATTTTTGAGTTTGATTTTTCCCTTCTTTTCTCTTCTTTTCTCCTATCTGCTCGAACAGTTGTCGACAGTTAATATATCTTGTGGTAACTTTTGGATACATTTTCCATACAGCTGGTTTTGAGAGTGTCCATTTAAAATGAGACCATTGTTCTTCGTTTACTTCTTGAGAAATAGAGATAACAAACTTGAGCTATAAAATTTAAGATGGCTGCCCTGTGGCCAGCTCATTTTCTTGATCAGTCCCAAATATAACATATATAACTACGGGATTGGGGGAACCCACACAAGAAATTAAATAAACGTGTACAACAATGAACCAATTGGAACCGTCATATGAAATTTGAGAAAGAAACAATCAGTACTTATTTTCTAGAAATTGCGATAACATAATCTTTTATGAATGGACGGACCAGAAACTACAGACGAAGGACGATTTGATCATCCCACCACCTGATAATGGAAGTCGAAAAAGGGAAAACAAAACATTGTTCAATCTAAGATAACAAAAAATAACACAATTCATTCTGTAGTTTTGTTTCTGGACCATCTTGTCGAAGCTACGACATAAAATACTTGAACAAGATCAATACTTTCAATGTCAATAAGGTTTACAGAAAACTTAAATCAGAATGGAAGAGTAAGTTTTAAAATGTTCTACTTTCGTTTTAGTGGTGTAAACAACACTACTGATGGAAATACCCGCGGCGAACCAGTAAAACAGGATATGTCACATGACAATATTATACCTTTGTTTACACCTTCTTATCCAAACAAATATCTGACATAATTGGTTGTTTTTTTAACGTTCGCTTCAATTAGAAGATCATAGGAATCATAGTTTTATAGATTAAAGATAAAACAAATGTATGACGACTGCCTTACGTTCTTCTTAATGCATTGTCTTTCAATAAAATGCTATTGTTGTAATAATACACATTTGCATCTCGTCAACGGTGTACCAATACCTACAATCACCACCGCCGATACATTCACTAGTTGTATTTGAAGTGGAATAGCCGAAAAGTCCCTGTTCCTCGCATCCTGTCCATGTTACCCAGTTTTGAGTGAATAATCCAACAGTTTGGAGAAGAAAGGGCAGAGAAGAGAAAACGAAACTACACATGCAACCCAGTAAGTTAGCCATGGTGCATACAATTCAAACAAGGAAGTGATGTGCTTTCCGGGAAACAACTTAATAAGTCACATGTAGGTCACAGGTAGGTTTAAGGCGAACACACCCGTTACTACACACACTACCTGCGTCAGGGATAAAGGCATATGTCTAGTATTTCTTTTATTACATTCCTTAAATCATAACTTAATGTTACTAAAACACTGCTTCATGTTATATCGCATTAATGTTAACTTTTCTTCCCGAAATATTACATTCCCAGATTATGGTAGCGTAAATGTGCACTAATGTGGTTAGATCGCATACCTTTTAAATTCGGTGATTTGGTCAATAGAGTTTCATTCAAAACGCAGATCCGTCAATTAAAGAAATATTCAGTCATTTATCGTCTTAAAGGGAGATTGAGAACCTTATATTTCTCATTGTTGTAACACTATATCGGATCTTGTCCTTGTGAAGTATCAATATAACGTTATAGTTATGGTGGTGTCTTAAAACGTCCGGAGAGAGACTTTGCAGAATGTACAGGGCGATGAGATTCCCTTAACTGACATGTATTTGTATTGTGGAAATAAAATGATATAATATTTTGTAAATACAATATACACAAACTTAGGAGATGCTTAATGAAGAGGAAAGTCATCTCAAAAAAAGCACAAACAATAAAGGGAACCGGTAGGTTAACAAACTAATTCCTGTTTATGTGGCAACGAACGCGTCTTATCATTTCAGTGTTCAAGAATGGAGCGCTACCTCTACCCATTTTGTGCAAAAACTCTCCTGAGGCAGTGCGTACACACATTTAATACAACAATTGGTATAGCGCCCTATCTAGCTAACAGAAGTCACTCTAAAGCACCCACTGGTAACTTACGTCACTTGACACAGACATAAACTATATGTATTTAGGATTTTTATTAGTAATAAGCAACAAAAAACAAGGTCGTTTGTTTACAAACGATATTTATTTATAGCCCGATCTTGTTTATAGCATAGGAGCGGTTAAATTTATTTTGCTAGATGAGATGGTTATATCGTTACAAATATAACCAACATTTTCATCATTATTTTTGCATAAGCGATTTTAATGGGGGTTTTGGGGTTGTTTTTATTATTTCTTGTCATTGACATACGAATATAGATTTAATTATCGAATATCTCTAGTTTAAAATGATATTCTACTTTCGGTTCTGATGTGGAATGTTAACGTTGGAAATACCATGTATGACTTAGTTATTACATGATTCTGTGTACAAGTTATGTCCTCCTCACTTTTATCTAGGGGATCTTTTATGATATATTTATAACTAGATAATATCAATTAAAGTTGATTGTTTTCATGTTTTAACCAATATGATTAAGTTAGATTATGTTAAAACAAAACGATTTCGCAAAAATTGCCCGAAGTAGTTATTTTATAAAAAAAATAATCATAATTGTTCATAACTTATGAAATCAAAACAAACCCACGAACATATATCAAATGTTGTATATTTATATTTATTTATTATCATGCAAACCACTCTGCTTCTGGAATTATCAAAATAACACAGCAACATCTATACGCCAGAGAGTTAGCTCTTGTTTGTGATATTTTGCAATGAACATTTAACGTAGAATCGTCTCGTTGATGACTTCGTAAGTAATATACGGAGTCACAATGTCGATAGAAACAGTATGTGGTCCCTTAAGAATCCCTGACTCACTACACTGTGGATTTTCGTATACACGGTAACCACCCGGTTTTTTTTGGGTTTTTTTTTTATATAATTGTAGCACCGATGGATAAGTACGTTTCCGTTGACACGGTAGCTCAGTCGGAAAGAGCGATTGTGTAACAAACTGAAGTTCAGGGTTCGAATCCCGGTCTAACCCCGCATAACTTCTTACACCCAGAACACGTTTGTCGATTATTTTGTTTATTTCATCCGTGTCGTTTTTCATAAAAAAGACTCGCAAGATATGACTTTCGGAAACGACTTCTCAGAGGTATAGTTATGCATGAACAAAATAGATTCTTATACATTGATACAGTTTTGGCAGTGGTATAGAGATCCTTAATTACCTTTATATTAACAGTGTTTGTAGTTACTCTACACACAACAGATACACTTTCCCTGAAGTAGATCACATATGACAATCAATCAATCAAATGACAATGCACTAATGTTTGAATTTTTATTAGCATAACATGAACACTGAAGACACATATTTGTGATCTACGTACATGTACAATGACAAAAGAAATCTGGAAACACGTAACTACAGGTTGATATTGATTACTTGATTATCATATATAATACTGAATGGGAAATTGTGAAAATGTGACAATGTTCTCACCTTGGATGAGCTAAGGCTGACATTTGCACAAAAATGTATAGTCCATCCAAACAAGCTTAGGACAGAAAAACATTTTCATAACTAGGATTAACCTTCTCCAGTATATCCCCTTTATTACCGTGTTATGTTTACCATTAATCCCACTGCCCTTAATCCGATTACATATAAAGTAATCAGGCCACAGCGTTATTATCCGGGATTTTGGTAATACCCGGGTCATTACTTGAGTACACTGTTCCGTTCTTCCATAATGTTCGATTACATAGATTATATCGGTTACTGGCCTTATTTTTGTACTTGTTTTTAATTCTTATATATTTTTGAGACTGCTTTATACGAAATATTCTATTCACGATCAGAACTTGTCACCAAACTGCTAAAAGGACTACACGGTATCTGTATTAAAGTACATGAACATGTAATTTAAACAAGGAGTTAGAGAGAAAACTCACTATAACATTATGCCAACATGTTCTGTGTTCATGTCTGGAATCTTCTTTAACTGTCGCTTTAGTTGTAATTTCAGTTGTTTTATAAATAATTATGAACAATATCTATGTTGATTAAGCTAGAAGCAGTCTAGTAGAGATTATTTGTCCCCTTTGGACATACTGACAAGAGTAGCGATGCTACTGACAGTAATTAAACTATATGAAAAACATATGAAAAATTTGTCAAGAATGCGCACCACATCCTTCCACGTCGTTCTTTCTTCTGTATTGTCTGTGCCTTTTTCAACTGGGATCACCAGTCCTTTCTTACTGCGGTTTTGACTTGTCGATTTTGACGAGTACGGCGAATATAAAGTAGGAAAGTATGAACATGCTTTCAGAGTTGGCGGGAAGGACACCGTTCACGATAGTGATAAACACTGTAAAGGTGAGGAACACGGTCAAACTAAATCCCGCGCGTTCACCTGAGTCACATGGCAACACGGACACAAGTGGATTCATGACCAGTAACAGGTATATCGGCATCAGTGTTTTAACAATATGAAATGCCGGAAGTCGGGAAATTGACATATCAAATGTCGCTATGCTGATACCATTGAACACAAACGTTCCTGATGCGGTTTTAACCATTGACCAAACACCATTAGATTCATAAAAAATCCAAAAAGAGCTTCGTTTGCAGTGGCTGGAGATTGACTTCGTTTTGTAAATAACCCCATGGTGCTAATTCAATGGAACACGTCTGTCTATCAAATGGGGATGTAAGACAAGGCTGGGCTACATTTGACATCGTTAAAGCCACTAGGCTGCCAGGTGATTTTACTTTTGTATGAAATCTTCACCAAAAAGTCGGAATCGCTGATGGCACTAAATGCGCTCGATGCTTTGATGTTATTGAGTTTAGGAAGCCATTTATTATTTGTCCCATCGATATTTGCTCTAATCCACCGTAGGAAGCTGTATTTCAAGCTAGGGACACGTCATCCCAATGAATAACAAACGTGCCGAGGATACTTAACTTCCCAGAAACTTCATCGAAATATTTGATAGAGTTGAGGTACAGTACATAGCGACAGATACGTTCAAAGTATTGTTCTGGTCAGCAATTGGCCGGATGTCTTTGTTATACCCAGTCGTTATGTTACTTAATAGCGCCTTTGCATTTATGATGGAAGCGGTGTTTATCCTTGTCACAGCAGCCAAACCTATTACACATAACAAAACGTCACGAATCATGTTTCTTTTATGGAAATTGTAGACCAGTTTTCAAATGATACTAGCACGTCTGGAAAGACGGTTGAGTTCAAACTTATTTCTTTATTTTAATCTCGGGTGTTCAAACGCCATGTCGACAAACGGCTTAAACATAAAATACGCCGGCTTGGACCTAAAACAAAACACACTACCTTAACCTGCTCGGTTGTATAAGCCTTAAACCTCTCCATTACGTTAGTGCACTTGAATTAGCAAGTTACAAACATATGTAACATTGGTGTTCTTAAAGAGTATTGGAGACTTGCCAAACTCCTATTTTGAATGTATTAAATAGCAGGTACATTGTATAAAAGTATATCCTCAATAACGCTTTGTGTATTACATGTAATTTAGAAAACAAATTCCAGTTTTTTCCCCTAGTTTAGATATTTTATTACATTGATTTTCTGCCAAATTCTTTACGGAACACTATGAACATATATCAAAATTTCACATGGAGCAAAGTTATATGATATGTTATACATGTATATTATAAAACTATTCATTATTAAAATGATATATAAAGGACATGTTATATGATTTTTTTTATTTATCATATAACTCACCTGTTATGTAGTGAATACACCCATTTCATACTTTTGCATTTTAATTCAGCTTATATGACCTGGAGCAATTTTGATTGGTTGACCGTGTCACACTTTTCCACGATAGTAAATTACTCCGTACAACGTCTCGCAGTAAACATGGCGGACGCAAAATTCCAGTTGGTTCTATGGAAACGTGCATTCTGTGTGCAAACATTTACGGTGGACATTTCAGCATAACCAATTATCGACAATCTACCACATCACTTCCCAAACTAGTGAAACGACGTAGGAGTAACGAATCGGACAGTGACAGTCAGTCTAAGTGAAGC